CTTAACAAAACCATTAAATACTCCAGCACCAAGTGCCCCTATCACCACCACTATTGCTTGACCATATGCACCATCATATTTTCCCTCTATATCAATGAAAATAAGCTCAAAATCTCAAAAACCCAACGTTTTATTCCAATTTCCAATCCTCACCATACTTAACAGAATTTAGTCACGTGAAAATGTGTCCCGTAACACCAAAAATCCACTATACAAACCTTCAATAAAACAAACTTCTATAAAACCACCATAATCAATGATATTCACCTATTTCAACACTCCAAGTAACATAAAACCATCTTCTACAAATAATTGGCTTCAAAAACACATGTATTTTGGCCTCAAAATACCTATATTAACCAACTACCTTAACAGTAGTACTACCGCCAGTGATGATCCAATCAACCAACCAACCAACAACAACATCCACTCAAAACAACCAGCTAGTGCAATCCTAATAACCAGCCAAATAAAATACAATATTGATATTAATCAGAAGATTAACTGATCTCTTCTTTAACCAAAGTTATAGCACTTTATAATAGTCGACATGTAGATTGCACGTCATCTCACTTAATAGTAATCCACAAAAACCAAATTTTACTGAAATCCTTGATTTTGGGATTTTTGAAAAAAAAATCAAAATGCAATCAAAAAATCGTTTTGGCAAATTTCCCTGGAACTTGGTCTTTGGGCAAAAATCTGATTTTTTTCAAAAAGTGCTGAATTAACCATTTTACCATACAAATTTTGGAAAACACCATATATGTTTAATAAACACCAAATCAACAGTAAGGCCGTAGTAGCGTATCCTGCTAAGCTGCAGACCTGTAGTAATATGCAACTCTCTATCTTTTGTTTGGTCATCCTCACCATAATCTCTCTTTGTGCAACTGAACAAGTCATTCTAATCTATTAGGCAAAATCCACCTTGAAGTCACCCAGGAAACCAACGCATATCTCATGGCACCACACATTATGTAAATAACACAAAGATAACTTTTCCAAAGAAACCAGAATTAACACACACATACAAAAAGCTTGGGTAACGATTGTGAAGGGATACTCAGGTAGCATGTGTTACGTGGTTCAGTGATTATGAGATGCTGTTAAAGCTTGATCTTTCTGCAATTCAGCTGGTGATTTTTGGTTTGGTTTGGGATTCACTGATGATAAAGTTATACTCAAGTTTCAAATAGAGGGATTGTGCCATCTTGATGAATTGTACTGATACTGATGTGGATTATGATACTCCTATAACAAAGTTTGATGTTTCACTCCTCTTCATTCTGCGTTATTCATATGAAACTGAAGTTGAAGTGTGATGGATTTGATGTTTGGTATCTTGAACTTTTGATGGATTTGGTGTTTTGGAGGTGATGAAGAAGTCAAGCTCATTCAGGATGAAGGAATTGTGCCATATTAATAAGTTGTACTGATGCTGATGTGAATTATGAGACTCCTATAGCAAAGTTTGTTGTTTCACTCCTCTTCATTCTGCGTTATTCATATGAAACTGAAGTTGAAGTGTGATGGATTTGATGTTTGGTATCTTGAACTTCTGAACGATTGTTGAAGGTTGGTAACAGCAGTTGGATTCACTGATGATAAAATTGTGCTCAATTTTCAGATAAGGGGATTGTGCCATCTTTGATAAGTTGTGCTGATGCTGATGTGGATTATGATACTCCTATAACAAAGTTTGTTGTTTCACTCCTCCTCATTCTGCGTTATTCATATGAAGCTGAAGTTGAAGTGTGATGGACTTGATGCTTGGTATCTTGATCTTTTGATGGATCTGGGGTTTTTGGAGGTGATGAAGACAGTCTTATCATACATCAGGATTTGAGGCCCCATCAACACGAATTGATTTCATCTTTTCAAGTTGGTCAAATCAAGT